TGAGATACAGGTAAGTAGTTCCTATTACTATATAAATTATTATAAAGAGAACTGGTAATGAGATACAGGTAAGTAGTTCCTATTACTATATATTATAATAAAGAGAACTGGTAATGAGATACAGGTAAGTAGTTCCTATTACTATATATTATCATAAAGAGAACTGGTAATGAGATACAGGTAAGTAGTTCCTATTACTATATATTATCATAAAGAGAACTGGTAATGTAATACAGGTAAGTAGTTCCTATTACTACATATTATCATAAAGAGAACTGGTAATGAGATACAGGTAAAGGAAGTTTTTTTTTTCTCCATTCAATTAATAGGTGCTGTGACATATCGTGTTGTACAAATTGCACAAGAATGTGAGTTGAATGCAGATGGTGCTGGTCATGTAGTGACCACAGCACCAGTAATAACTGGCCAGCAAACAGTTATAACTAGCTACTCCACAGCCAGTGGTGGAGGTAGCCCGACAGCAGATGTTCATACCCAAGACACAAGGTTTACATACTTTCCTGCTGTTGCAGATGGGGGTATAACTACTTCACAGTCTGAAACAGCAGCTTTAGCAGCATCAAACTCAGGTGGGTTGTAGCAATTGTGAAACACACTACCATCTTAATAAGACACTTAAAATTACTTCTCTTTCTCATATGTTCAAAAAAGTAGAATCTTCTACCTCAACTAGTCAGTTACCTGTTTTATATAGTTTAGAGAAGAATTTCTCAACTTTTTCAAAACTAGGAACTGGCTCACTAAACATTCATGGACCACCAAAATACAAGTACAATAAAAAATTGACATGCTTATGAATATTCTGTCAGGTTTGTTAGTTTTTTGTAAAATCCTATGGATCAGCGAGTATCTTGTCATGGGCTGGTGGTTGAGAAACACTGGTCTAGATTAATAAAAAAAAAATAATAATCAAGCTCATAACATGTATTTGATATTTTGTTTCAGTGAATAAAAAAATGTGCTCTCTCAAAAATACCTGAAATTAATTGTTTTATTTACATTTGAAATGCAACTTGTTGGTTTTATTTTTGTACTAATAAAGATTATTCTTTATCTAAAGATGATTATAATAACTGTTTAAATCATGGAGCTTTTTGGCCCATCAGGGATAGCCTGACATTCAATCTCCCTCAGCAAATAGAAAACTTTTTTCACACTTTTGATTTGAAATAACTGAATCATTACTATAATATTACATAAGTGGTTTACAAATAACAATCTGAAAACTGTGCATTTTGATAATGAGGAAATCAGAGATATAGATTTCTTCTAGATGTCTCAGTGTTAAGATTAAGTAGAATTAAAATTAATTTAAAATTTGGGTTACAGTTTATCTACAAATAAGCAAACTTATAGAAGGCTAATAAGTGTATAAAGACCCTTTCTTCCATCAACAGACTATCCAAAATACAAAAAACAAAGTAAATATAATTTAATGTGTTGTAAAGTATAAAATGTTAATGTGGAACTAATTTTTGTCATTATTCAAGGTGTTTGAGAACATATCCCAGGTTTTGTAGGTGTGTTTCTAATTTGAACTTGCTTGCACACAGTTTACCTTTTGGGTTTGCCTCACATTTTAGATTGAAAGGCAGGTAACTTTAAAGAACAGAAGTTTAAGATATGTAAAATGCATACACAACTGCAGTTGAAGTAGTTACTTTTGTATTAGGGCACACGTAGATAGAGTTCATGACTTTTACCTTGGAAATGAAATTTAGATGTAAAGGATTTTTGTCATGTAATCTCATAACTATGTTGGAAAAGACAATACAACATACATCATAGTTCATCAGTTTTTTTTTCTAGAAAAGTTAGTATCATATTTGTTGTAAAAATATACACACAGTCTGCAAGTCAGTGAGACTAAATTAAGGAAATGAGTAGGCTACAGAGGGATGTCATTATTTCAAGTAATTGAAGTTAAAACCAAAAAACAACATATTAACAAAATAACTTACCTGTCAATAGTGTTCAGTCAAGAAGGTATTGAGTTTAGGAGGCTGGTTAGTGTGTGTTCTTCATGCACAAAATAATAGAAGGTTCATGTTGGCATATCATGATTGATTAAATAAAAAATGTTTTTTTGAATATTACATCTTCATTGGTCTATAACAGAGATGAAACCATTGATTGGTGCTCTGCTGATCTGCTACCATTTTATATTAATATCTTCATACTAAAAATGCATTCTGAATATAAATAATACTCAGAAATAAAATATTTTGCATCAGGTATTGCAAAAAATATTTACTTATTTTCTTAACTTTTTGGTGATTCGTAATTATACTAGATGTGTGAGATGTTTTTCAAACATGGTAGCAGTTTCTTATATAATCAATAGTTATAACATTTTTAGGACAGTTTTATGTAGTGATGTCTCCCCAAGACGTGTTCCATCCTGGACAAAGAACTCTAGCTCCAAGAACACATCAGTTTAGTCCAAAATTTGAAGTAACAAGAAGAGCTAGAGATGAGCGCCGTAGAGCAACTCACAATGAAGGTAGTTTAAAAATTGTTGCCTTGTTTACATTATTCTGACACAATGGACAGGTCATCAGTAAAAAAAGGAATTTTAAACATTGTAAAAACTGTTTTCGAAGTTTTTGAAATAGCTTTTGTTTGTTAATTGGAAAGTGCCATCAGGTTGTGGTCTTCAACTGTTTTTAGAAAATAACTACTTAATACTTTGAAAAATGAATTGGACAAATATCTTGCAGTACAGTAAAATAACAAATATGAATCATAACACAAACTTTTTACCCAATTATAATATCAGATTAGACTAAGTGCTGAAGTGATACCTGACTGAGAAATCAGATTCAGGAATGGTTCATTGGTTTTCTCCCATTCAGCTTTGAATTATAGGTAAGGATCGAGAAGAAATAAAAGATATTAAAATACTGATTAATCCAACCAATGCTTAGCACAGAGAAAAAGTATTGAAAATATCTAATAAAGGCTTTGTGAATTGTCAAACAATGATTGATCACAAATTCTCTTTAGTCTGTCTTCAGCATAATATTTATGACTGTAATTAATTGAATTTCAGATAACATTTAAGTTAAAGTAGCTGCCTCTTCAGAAACTGGGCATATAATTTCTAAGTAATCTTGTAAATCTAAGTTCATCTCTGTGTTCATAATTTTTAAGTACCTATCAGTTGAAAAATGATAATTCAATACTTGAGCATTGGGTAAGTATTTAGAAATGAGTGAACATATTTATGAATTGATCACTCAAACAAAATATTTTGCATTAAGAGAAATATAATTTCTACTCAAATACTAATCCTTTTATTGTATAGTGCAAAGTTGCTGCACAAATAACCCATTTTTTTACACAATTTGACCTATGATGAGAAATAGGAAATTTCTTTAAAACCTGTTTTAGGAAAAAGCTAGGAACTTTCAAGAGATATAGAAAGTCTGAAATTGTTGTAAACACATCCTTGAGCAGTTGCACATGTAACATTCACAACACTGGGATTATTTTTAGTATATTTGTGAAACAAAGATTACACCTTGGTGACTTGTTCATCACCACATCATCATGATTGTTCAAGAATTTCTCTGTTCACATTTCTCCTCCGACTTAAAAATGTAACAGTCTACTAATGTGTGATTATCAATGGCTGAATTAACATTAATATCAGTAGAAATGAATTAATGGGATGATATTAAGCTACTTTGAATTTTAATAACTTGAAGAATAGTGGGAAGCAAGACTAAAAAAAAATTATATAACCTTACTTGGTTAGAACACAGAGAAAGATCTCTATTTCTTGATAAAGTGAGTAACAATCCTTACCAGGAAGCATCAACCAAAGAAACATAATTTCCATGGGGGAAAAGATGCAGAAGTATTATGCTCAAAAGAGTATGGAAAGGCTACAAAGCAGTGTCAAGCCAATTTGTAATCATTCACTTAAATTCCTCCTGCATTTCCATATGCACCTGCAGAAAAAGTAACTCGTAGAAATTTTGTGGATTCTGAGAATGAAGAAACAACCTTATTTTAGGAGATTTTCTCTTGTACATTTACATTTTTAGATTCAGGAGTTGCAAAAGATTTTACATTGAGTAGTTAGCACGACCAAATACACCAGTAACAAGGCCCTGCATTTTCAGTTTAAACAGATTTTTACCAAAAAAAATCCCAGGTTTTACAAAAACTATAATTCACTTCTTTTCAATTTTCACCTTACTTTTGTACCATTGAAATATACAAAAGATAACTAGTTTTATTAAGAAAATACAATGGATTCCATGAGATATATGTATAAAAGTAATACTTTAAGTTTTTGCAAAATTGTCTGCAGAAGTAAGGCTGGTAATCGTCTAGAAGAAACATGCACACTTTAAAGTGTGTGCACATCTGAACATACTGATGAATCTCAAATCCATCATGTGAGTTGTGATGAACATATTTCAGACTATTAGTAGGTAACTGTTTTCTTATATATAAACTGTTTTAGTTCTGCAGCAAATTACGTTGAATTCTGTTCTTCATAACATTAATCTACTGAATACTCTTATTCCTTTCCTTCTGTCCACCAAAATATACCCTGATATTTACTCAGAAAAATTATTAATAGTTTTTGGCACTTATTTTCATCTGTTTTTATTGTGGTATTAATAAAAACAATAAAATTTCTGGGGAAATTAGATAAATAGAAATCCAAAATGCCTGACCATAATTTATAACATTTAGCTTGGAACTGTGCTTCCTGAAGAAATTATTTGGAAGTTACATCTTTGATGATTATGTAATGTGCTTTGATGTATTTCAGAACAGAATGATTTAATGGGCTTCTGTGCTGCTAAAACGAATGTTTGATGTTGCAGATATATTCATACATGCTTCTAGATTTAGAGGTTGCATGACTAATATATCTACATGTGATATTTGAACCCAATATTTTGGGGTCATTCTACTGCAGTTGATCTAGTGGGAAAGCCCAAAGTAGGATTGGGATGTCAATCTTGAAGACAAATTTTACTGATAGAAATGATGATTCTTCTACCAATAGTTAATTTCTGGATATACTTTCTAGAAGACCTGGATAATGAGAACGTTGAAAGGTTTTCATGCAAGATACAAATAAGCTTTGTAGTATGTAAACATTCTTTTGCGAGTAATATATGGGATATTTAAAAATATATTATTGTATTGCTTAAATAATTGTTTATGAACCTGTGTAGGCAGTCTATTTTAACATTAGTGATCCAAATATTGAAAAGCGTGTGATCACTCCTATGACTGTAAGTTAGAGATGAAGACTTAGGAAGTTATTGCTTACTAGTAGAAGAAGAAAGAGGACAACATTAATAAAAATATGTACAGTAATAGAAGAGACAAAAGTAAGCAGAGGCAGAAATGCAGTCAACATCCACAAGTAGGAGGAGTTTAAAGAAGGTGCATTTAATAATGTGAAGTTGTAAAGACAAGTAATTGACCAACTATTCAACTGAAAAAAAACTGACATTTAATGATACATATTTAGTTATTTTTTATGCCTTTATATTGATCTATATTATTACTCTTTCATTTTAAAACCATTTTTATATATCATTAACCACAGTTCTAATACCAATGAATTTTGATGAATAAAAACAAGCTCTTGGGTGGAAAGCAGAGCATTTAAAATAAATAAAACTGTTTTGTCATTTAATATGTTTGCACTTTCTTCCTTACATGCACACATTGAGGCAAGTAGTCGCTTCTATGTAAAGTAGAATAATTGTTTTCTATCACAAAGGAGAGACATCCTGTTAGTATAGGAAAATGAATAAATTCAAACTTATAAACTCAAAAATTTATAAAGAAAATAATTTAGTTATCTTTCTATAAAGTGAAATGTTTATGATATTTTTGAAATATTGAAGTGCTAGAAAAACCTATTTCTAATTTACTTTACTACATTCAAACCCTATACTTTTCGTTGCTGTTTACAGTGGAGAGGAGGAGAAGAGACAAAATTAATAATTGGATAGTGAAATTATCCAAAGTTGTGCCTGATTGTTCATCTGATCATACTAAACAAGGGCAGGTGAGTGTAAGGGAATCACCAAATGAATATTATTAAAAGAGGATTTTTTTTAAATATATTATTGTGCAACTAACTGATGGTTAGTTAAATATTCTAAATTATTTATAACAGTAAAGCTGTATTTACTCTTTATCTGTAATAGAATATTTTAAGAAATGTTAGTGCTTTTTGATTTCAATATTTATCAAACACTAAGTCAAATTTCACACTCCATATGTCTGTGAATGATCATAAATCAAGAGCATTAGAAATTTGGTAAGCATGCTGTCCTACAGATGTGTGAAATGTATTAACACTCCATGTGTCCATAAATGATCCTAAATCAAGAGCATTAGAAATTTGGTAAGCATGCTGTCCTACAGATGTGTGAAATGTATTTTCACCCCACATGTCTGAAAGTGCTTCTAAATCAAGAGTTATAGAAGTTAGCTAAGCAGATGTGTGAAGTGTATTATTTTTATATACGGGTAATTTTGCCTCTTAAGTTATTTAATCATTAAGTACACATATTGAATATCCTATTGCCACCACAAATTTATATTCAGTTAATTACTTAAACAGCTTGGATAAAATTTAACACTTTACTTCCCACCAGTGGATAAGCAATAAGTCTGAATACTTATAATGCTAAAACCAAGTTTTGATATCAGCACAGATAGCCCATATATAGCTTTGTGCAATGACCAAATTGACACTTTCCTATTAAATGTCATGATTATTTTCTCTTCATTATTAATGAAAATATTTTATAGAGTTAAACTAAATGCTGTAGACCACAACCGTACTTCCAAGTATAGTTTTCTAGTGCTTTGTTTTTCTCTAAAACTAGAACAATGTTTGTAATTATTTTATTTTGTATGCAGTATAAGATTAACTAATTCTGTATCCAAGCATAATGGAAAAAATTTGCAGATGACTGAAAGCACCTTGTCTGTATCCCAGATGACTCAAAAACATGTTTCTATATTTAATCTCAATATTGTTTGATTTCTAAACATGATGTTCATTCAAAAAATATATTGTTTTAGAAATAACTGAAATTATGATACATATTAAATATTCAACATATAACTTCCACAACTGAGATACATAGAACTTTTTGGTTGAGATATTAAAGAGAAAGCTGAGTTTAATTCATTTCTCTAGTGATTTATTGTCAGAATATAATTAACATGCATCTAAGTGATGTAGTATAAAGTTTTCCACAGGAAAAAATTTTAAATTTAAGGAGTTAGCTCTCATTTATTAACTTTATTTAGAAAACTTGAAATATACCAGAATTGTGTAATGTGTGTTCTTTTTTACATTATAATTGTTGACCATCAGTAAACTTGTTTTTATTAGTGTAACTGTGTGATATGAAAGAAAATATGTAAATTTAATAATTAATTCCTTAAATACATATTGGTAAGTTAAATATACTTTTTTTAATACTTCTATTTTATTTTAATTTCCTGACATTATTCAGATTTCTCTAATTTTAAAAGTCAAAAACAGTTGCTTATAATATTTTTTCTCTTCAAAATGAAGCAGAGTAAAGGGGGAATTCTGGCTAAAGCATATGACTACATTCAAGAGCTGAGAAATGCCAATGTCAAATTGCCTGAAATTTTAAAAGACAATGAGAAACTCTTACTGGATGCGGGGTTGTTGAGGCGGCAGTGTGAGGAGCTCAAGAATGAGAATCAGATGTTTAAAGCACATCTTCAACAACAGGGAATTAGCATTGTTGATAAGATAGATACAAACACTGCTTAACAGGTATTATTGAGGAGCTCTGCTATGTATATCATTGGTGATTTTGTTTCATATAATAAAATTTATTTTAAGAAGGTTGGCATAAAAATACCAAACTTTAGTCAACAGTCTCCTTAGATGTTTCTTTAATATTTAATTTAGTATTTTATTTTAGGTTATGTCAAGAGTTATGAAAAAATCAGTTTTTTAAAAAGGTATTTGACAGTTTGAGTATGTATGTTATTAGCTATCTACTTTGATTTTAGAATAAGTAAGAAATTATCATCTTCTCACCTATTTAGAACATCACTGTCATCTCCCACTTAGAACATCAATGTCATCATCTCCCACATTTTCATACTGTACAGTAAGATATCACTTTAATATTTGTAAAGCCTTTTTATAAACTGGAATAAAAATGCTTCCTTTATTGGTAGATTCCCTTATTTAGTCACTTGCTTGGGGTGTGTGCCAGTTGTTGATCAAAGAAGTTAATCTAAACTTTCTTTCGTTGCCACGTTTTATCCATTTATCCAGCTTACATAAGACAGAGTACTATTTGTAAATACTTAGAAATTTGTTTGAAAATAAAGATAGAAATATTTATACATGAATTATGTGATTTGTCTTTGTATTTAATGAAAATGTTTGGGATAGTTGTTATTTAAATGGCTGTATGTAAATTAAAGGAACAAAGAAAGTATCTTTGGCCCTAATGTAGAAACCTGTGGATATATTATTACTGTGTACTGAGGATGTAGGTCTCAAGTAAAGTTCTGTATAGTAGTTGGAGGAAATGCTTTACAACTTTATGAAATACAGGGAAATTTATATGTATATTATATATTAAAATTTTGATATGAATAACTGTCATCTAATATAAAACATTCATTATTTCTGGTTTATTTTGAGAAATTTTCAATTGATAATTCTTTGCCTTTTTGTGATTTGTATTGGAATATTTCAAACTTGATTATCTGCTGTTTGTCTGTCAAAACTGTTTCCGTAACATAAACTTTCACTTGCTTGCAGTTAAAGTGATTGAAATAAATAAAATAGTTTATACCATTGTATGGGTGCAGTTTAATACTTGCATTGATTAACTAAATGAAAGAGAAATTATGGATACAGTGTTTGGCCCTCCACCTTTGCAATGTGGGATTCCAGCCTTTTTGTGAGAGGGATTCTAGCCTTTTGTGTGAGAAGAGGTCAGTCTGTTTCAGAAGTTAACATTTTCTGACACTGAAAATGTATTTCTGATGTGTACTTACCTCCCCTCACACACTTCCTGCCCACTGCTAATTCTCAAAAGTAAGGATTGATTAAAAATAGCAGAGGGAGCTAATTGTGCTTTTATAGGTGGCACAGTAATATTGTTGAAAAGTAGTCAAATGACATGTACATGTTCAGAAATGGCACAAAACTGGTAGAGTATAAAGACTAATCACTAAAATTATTTTAGCATTGCTTAGAGGGCAGTCAATGATTGAGATAGCCTTTTGTGTGAGGAGAGAGGTAAGTACCTACTGGTAATACATTTTCAGTATACAAAAATGTTAACTTAATCAACATGGTTCGGGTGTAGGTGCACAAAGAACAAACCAAGTGGAAAGTGACCATCTAGAATGAACATGTGTGCTTGGAGATAAAATAAAGCACACCTGTGAGGTACAGCACTACTTCTGGAACAGGTATGCTCTTCACCCAGGAATTGGGAAGGTAACATAAAATGGGTGTAAAAGGCAATGCTTGCACAACTGCAAGAGCATTAAGAAGGTGCAAACTATATCAACATATAATGAGATAAAAAAATGTAATAAGAACAGGTGGATAGGGCATGTGAACTGTGTTATTGATACCAAAAACCCCAACTGTAAGTGAACAGAGTGCTGTATGTCAATCAACCAGAATTAAAAAGAGGAAGTGAGCAAACAGTCATAACTGGACAAACTCCCAAAACCACTGTGGGAGCAAGAAGTACAACAAACCAAACCCAGCATTATGGAGTCTTGGCATTGCCTCAACTAAACCATAAGAACAGGGAAAGCTGTAACTAGTATTGTGGGCAAAATCATACCTCACTCAACTGTAAATGCAGGGTAGAGACATCCTGTATCCAGAATTATGAGGAGGACAAGCAGCATTTACCCAACTGTATGGAACAGAGTGCAGACATCCCGTTGCCATATTATGAGGCAAACAAAGTCTCTCAAACCTAACCAGAGAAGCAGGAAAGAATCTTCAGCAACTAGAATTAACGAGAAGATAGGTGCCTACTGTAGTAACAAGATGTTTTCATCCTGAACCTGGAATTACGAGGAGGAACCCATTTAGGCTGGCCACAAATAATATTTGATCATTGGTTTTATTTTGTGCAGTCCACCCAGACAGAACAGATCCGGAAATGCACCAACAGAGAACAAGCTTTTTCCTCTTCTCCTAAATGAATAAACAAGTATAAGTACAGTAACACTCAGGAGGAAGCCTCCATGGTCCACCACCCCAGCAACTTGAGAACTGAGAGTGGTAAGGACTCCCATGCTCCACTCAAAGAAAAAGGTGGTGGGGAGTTTGAAGGAATGTCACACAGGAGACAGTACAATGGGTGACTACATACACCGCTGGGAAAGTGCCCAGTGGTCTTACAAAAACACCCCATCTCAAATGTGAGCATTATATGGTTATTGCATTTGGTGTGGGTTTGAGACAAGGCATACCTGACCAGGCAACATCTGCCATTAGGTGGGATTGGTAAAGAAGCTTTGGAAAGCTGAAAAGAAAACAAAAGAAAGGATATAAGCAGATTTACCCCAGATAAAGGCAAATGGAAGTGTGCAGAATTGTCACAGGAGGAAGACGATATCCACCAGAGGAAGAACAATCAGATCATGCAGATAATGAGTGACAATGGTATTGGGATTGTCCACATACCAGCCTGGATGATTTCTTCCAAGGGGAGGCAAAGACAAGCAGCTAAAGATATGGTAATGTGAGGAATTTGATGTGGAGAGACATTGTGGAGATGGTGACCTTGCACGGACATGTCTGAATACGCCATACTGACGAGTTGATGAATCCAACCAGGTGAGTTACTGGAGACAGATCATGGGAAACAGTAAGTTCCTGTGAATATATAGTTGGGAACAAGAACCCTGAAAGAAGGTAGCACAAGCAACATAACACCTCAAGGATTGAACCAGAAAAAAAGCATATCCGGATCAGAACAGGGGTACAGGTTGGAAATCAAAGAAAAGGAAATGGGTAAACCTTCCCATGCTGCATATGTCTTAGGCTTGAAGGATTGGTCAGGATAGAGGATCACACAAGAGGAATGGTAAAGGGTATGAGAAACATTAATGGCATAAATGTTGGAATGATAGCATCTATGGGCAAAGAGGAGGAAATAGATCTTAAGGGGAAGATGGTAGAAGGAACAGGTAGGTAATAAAGAATGAAATGAAAAAGGGCATAAAGGACCACATTATGATCCTGATCTGGTAAAACAAAGGGACGTTGGGGACAAGCAATACAGAAGGAACAAAAAAAGCAGGGAAAGAGAAAATGTTACAGAACCGAGAATAATGAAAGGTGTTTGATAGGGCCACCTGATAACTAGACATAGTTGAAATGGAAAAGCCCTAGGTCAAACAACCAGATGAAGAATTTGGAAAGCTGAGGAACACAAGGACAGGAGCAATGGAAGCCACGGCGAAGAGACCAATGTCAGAAGGTAAACCAATGCTGTTGGTAAATGGTCAAGAAAGATCTGATGGTTTGGGAAAGTAAAGACACTACATGAGGAGGAACATGGCAAGCTAACACCACCAAGTTGTGATTGTGGGCCCAAAAAAGAAGATCCAGAGTCCAAACACACAGAGATCTGGATTTGGTTTTGCCTTGCTTGGTGATATAATTGATGACCGTGGAATTGTTGGAGTTGACCATAACTCCCTATCCTCGCAGGAGTGAAAGGAAATGGGTCAAAGCTCGACAGACTGCCAAAGGCTTGAGGATGTTGATGTGGAGTTCAGACTCCTCTACAGACTGGAAATCTCTTGAGATTTGAGGAAAGCCCCCACCTCACCAATGATGCATCCATGAAGAGATGTAACTCTGGACAAGATGGAGGAATGGGAATCCCCACCATGATCTGAGCCACCAAACTAGGTCCACCTTGATCATGGAAGGAAGGGTAACAGGATGGTCCAAGGGATACAGGGAAAAGTTCGACTGATCAAGAAGTGTCCACTGAAGTGAACACATATGAGATCGACCCATAGGAATGAAAGCTTCCAAGCCCACATCCCCAAAAGAGATAGAATCTCTCAAGCTGTGAAAGAAGGAAAGATGAAAAGGAGAAGGCTGGACATGACTGAGGTTTGATTTGAAGAAAAAACCCAAACGAACCAGGTATTGAATGGGGGTAAGAATATACTTCTCCAACTGGATCAGAAAACCCACTCATATTGCCACCTACAGAAGCAAACGTGTAATTCATTGATTGTGAACAGGAGCCAGTCACTCATATATTGATAAGTGTGAAGACCCAGTGAGTGAAGGTGATGAACAAACAAGTGAAATGCTCAACAAAACACATAAGAAGATGAAGAGAGACTGAATGGCAGTGTCCTGAACTGGAAAACTTGACCCTCGTGGATGAACCGAGGGAAACGATGTGACTATGGAGCAATGGGAATGTGAACATAGGCATCTGCAATGTCAAATTTGGTCATCCAGAGTCCTGGGAAAACACCAACCAAAGCGAAAGTTAGGACTCCACGGTGAAGTGAGGGGGCTCCAGAAAGCAATTCAGCCAGGACAGACCTATAATTGATCTCCAATCACCCACCTTTTTGGGAACCACAAAGAGATGGGAATAAAAATCCGGATGAGTGGGAACCACCAGGTCAATAGCTCCTTTGTGTAGGAGGTCTTGAACAGTCTCAACAAGATGACTGAGAAAGGAAGGATCCCAAGGAAGAGGAAAGTTGGCCAGAACTGAAGGCAGAAACCTTCTGACAGAACTCACGGATTCATCGTGAAGTGCCATCACACGGTTGAGAAGTGGAACAATCTGGCTCCCACGAGACAGGGAACCTCTGCTGTGTCACCGATAACACTGGAGTCTGTCTGAATTTGTGTGGATAAAATGAGGATAGGGACGGGAATGTCTTGATGATGGTAACGGGTGGGGTGAGGAAGAAGGAGAGTGGGAAACCAGTATAGGCGAATCCTGGGAGGTAACAGGAGGTCGAGACAAATGTGTGGTTAGGGAAGAATGTAACCTAGCTACATCAATCCATTATTCTAGGGAATCTAAACGACTCCAAAATACGGAATCACGTAGAAAAGTGACTTGTCTGAGATCTCGTAGGGAGGAAAGGGGGAGATGAACCCTTTCCAGTAAAGCATCCATTCCTAACAAGTCCCAACAGCAAAATAGCCAGGTATTAAAGGAAAGGATAGAGGCCGATAAACGATACATTATGGCCCTGAGCTCTTCTGAAAAGACATCAGGAGATTGACAAAAGGCCTCAGATATTAATTAAAGGAAGGAAAGGTAGCGTAAAGGGAGGTCAGGGAAAGGTGAATCCTGGAAAATTGCACCTGATTAAAGTGGACAAAAGCCCCAGGATTCAAACCCCACAGGGGAAGAAGAGGATCTAAATGCTGAGAATCCAAAAAAGGGATATGAGGCGCGATGATAAGTCAAGGCATATTGATCCAACAAATTAAGGGGATGCGGCATACCTATACCCGACTGTAGTTGATCAGATATATTCTGAGAAAGAACACTAATGTCAAGAGAAGGTGGAAAAACAATAATTGGATGATGAACTTTCACCTAATAAAACAGTGGAGGAATCATAGGCTATAAGGGAAACACCTAAAATATGACATACCTAATTGACAAGCTGTAAGGAAGGAGTGAGGTGAAATGTCCTGAACAGGTGGAGATGGTCAAAATTTTTATCCTCGTGATGGTAAGTCTGTTCAGAAACATGGTCAGGTGAACGAGAAGAAGAAATTGTCAAACGTAAACCTCTAACTCCCTGTGAACCAAGGCTTTAACTTTTTTCAGCAAATAAAGTCAATCACACGTCCTGGGAAATTGTGCATTGTAGTCTACAGTGGGAATATCATTGTTTGCCATATTAAGTCTTGAATTCATATTAAAAATAGAATTTGGAAACGAAAATTTAATTGAATGCAAAATTGTAGAAACAATTGAAAACAAACTCGAAATTTAAACAATTGTGAGACAACCTTGACTGAAAAGATAACAGAACACAGTAAAAAAACTGTAATCACACTCGGAAAAATTAAACACACATCTAAACTGTGTCATGCCAATCGAGAAAGTGGGACTGGAGGAGGAATATCAGAGGGAGCTAGTTGTGCCATTGTAGGTGGCACAATATTATTGGTGGAGAATAGTCACATGATATGTTCAGAGATGGGACGAAACTAGTGGGGTATAAAAACTGGTGCATTGATTATTAAAATTCTTTCAGCAATGCTTAAAGGGCACTCAAAGACTGAGATAGCCCTTTTGTGTGAGAATATACAGTTTCTAATGTTGTTTTAAAATCATTCAAAATATTTGCAAGAAATGAACATTAGTCAACAGGTGCAATTAAATAGTGTGTTTTTAAATAGTTCATTTATAAACAAGAAACATGTTACAGGAAACAATTTTGGAAGTTAATATCAATATACAACATATTTATTGATATTAACTTCCAAACATGTTAAACTAGCAATCATGTTGTCAACATTAACAAAAGTATTGCTTGTGTATGTAAACAGTATGATGTTAATAGTCTATTTATTGAACTCTTTCACAATTAAGAATATTTACTTGCATTATAGAAAACCATTTAATATATTACACCACATGACAAAGTCCTACTACTCGTATATATACCCACATAACTATGCCACATAACATGAGTTCCACTACATGTATACTATACCACATAATATGAGCCCCCACCACATGTATACTACACCACATAACATGAGTCCCATCACAAGTATACTACACCATATAACATGAGCCCCACCGCATGTATACTACACCACATAACATGAGTCCCATCACAAGTACACTACATCATTTAACATGAGTTCCACTACATGTATACTACACCATATAACACGAGTTCCACTACATGTATACTACACCACATACTGGCATCCACCATTTGTATACCTTATGAGCAAAACACAATTGTAATTCGACCAAACATACTAGTAACTCAATCCTTTGTTAACACAAAGCTGCCCCACTGTAATAAGTTGCTTTTGCCTTACTCTTAAGTCCAGCTGTAAAGCAATAAATATAAGTGACAGAGGTTTGAAATGTATTAGCTTTGGCTGTAAGAATAGTGTGTAATTGTCTGATACAGTGTGTAGTTATTCTTGAAAGAAAAAAGGGTAATTTAGATTTATTTTGTATTTTTGTGAAAAAACATGGTGGTTACAAGTTGGACAAATGGACCGAGCCCATGTACAGCATTAGAGTAGAGAAAATAACAGATAATGTGTAAAACTTTACTGAAAAACTTTTGATATTCATTAGGAGGTTCTAAAGATTATGCAAATGAAATATGAAGCCTTGAGGTAAAAATAACATTTTTATTCTTAACATGAAAATCATTTTGCACTTCAAAGTATTTAATAAAGGCTTCACGATAAATTCACAGAAAAATCCTTAATAAAAATTCTAATTTTTTAAGCACAAAATACTTATAATCTTCATTAAAAGTTTACTAAATTTTGTGAAGATACATATATTGCATTGAAAGTTATGTATAGTTTCTTGATTAAATGTTGGTTACAAGGTTGGTCAAAATGGCCAAGCCTATATATTGAGAGCTAAAGCCATTTGTATTTATATACATGTATAGGTAAAGAATTTGAGTATAGTATACATAACACATAGAGTCTTCAAAAACTACTACATAACTACACAAGGACATTTATAACATACAATGTTATTCAGGAGAACTATTATAATAAAAAGTAAATACCCCAATATGGATGTAACACTTTATTTTGACTTGTCTCTTACAGCATCTAGACTTCAAGATAAAACAGACTCACATGGTAAGATATAATTATATTGATGAATACTTTGAAAAATCAGCAGTAAATATCCCTGAGAGTTTGCCTTAAAAGATACAACATTTTCTGAAAACATACTCTACATTAAATGATATGAATATATTATTTTCTTGAATTATGAAAAAGTAATAAACTCAAAGCAAATTATTTTGTAGTATATGTACAATCGTGTGAAGAAAACTGTGACAATCAAATTAATGAACATAAGTTACTCATATAACAATTACATTCACCAAACCAATTGTTTCTATCAAAATATTCCACCAGATTTACAGTATTGATATGTTTTATACAGTGAAACATTTATGATAGTTTACTTTTACATTGGGTAAAATAAGCTAGTTATTACTTTTTTTGTACTCATCTTAGTAATTGTTCAATAAATGTACATATAAATTTTCTTAACAAATTGAATGGTAATTTGAACCACTTTATAACACAATTTATCTGATAATGAGATCTTTAAACACACACTATTAAAACCATTTCAGTTCTTTGCTTTTTTAGAGCAATAATAAGTTCTGCCTAGCATTTTTATCTTTAATCATCCACAAAATAAAAACTTAAATAAAAGATTTTGGACTATATTTCTATACACATTTTGTTATAATTTATTATAGACAAACTAATCAGCATTATCACCTAGTAGTTTTTACTTGAATTAAAATATTGATTTCAGTAAAAAAGAATTAGGTAAAAAAATTGTTTTTTACTAAGCTTAAAGTAATAGTGTGTAAAAATATGGCCAAACTGGCTCAAAATCCAACCATAAAGCAGGCTGGAAATAAGTTCCACATTATAATTACATGCAGTTATTACCAAAAATTATTTGTCACTAATGTTTCCTCCAGTAACTTCTCATATGAGAAGTTATTTCATTGAACTTGTAGGCTGACTAACAGGATTGTTTGTATCAGAAAATAAGAAACTTAGGCTTCCCCATGCTTTATTTCTGGTGATGTAAACTAATATTAAACTACCTTAATTGAGTCAGTTGTTTTTAAACTATGAATAATTAATGTTTATAAAATACTTGGTAAGAGAGCAGACTACGACACGAAATTAGACAAATATAACCTGATATCTACAATTATACATCAATTATATTTTAACTCGGAAGCTTCCAGTCAAAGCTAATTATTACAGAAAGAAAAACGTTTGTTTTATTGCTTCTTACCTTTCTCTCTATAGTTTCTCTACCAGCTTCTGGAGTTTGTTTGATAGTCATAAGTAAACTTATGGGTCCTCATACAGTGAACACCCCATAAAAAATGAAATTTCAGATTTTCTCTTAGAGGTCTATGCAGATTACTGCCGAGGTTATATTTCTGGTAGAATTGTGTAGCGATCATTAACTGGCTGCTCTACAGTTCAATTGGCTTATAATAACAACAATACAATGAAAAAGCCTAAAAATGAATATATTTTACTTATTAGAAGCATTTGAGCTGAAAACAGTGGCGACCAGGAGTAAATGTTTTAACAAGTTACTGTGCTGATGAAATTTACATCTTTTGTTTTTTCCTAAATGTTATTTTACACACTCAAGTTCTAATTCTAAAACAAAAAGTATGCATATTTTGGGACCTTGTGGCATTTATGTATAAATTGCATCTAGTTCATGTAATAGTCTGAAGCAAACATGGTTGAGCATACATATAAATAACTGTTAACTGAATAGCAGTGTTACATTTTCAAATGCTGTCTAACCCTTCCATAGCATTATTACTCAATTGTAAGACACAAGTATCATATGAGCTGTTTAAAAATAATGGAGAGAACAATATATTAAAGTAATAGAGACTTATTTAGGCAACAGGAAGCAATACTCCAACTCCTCTGATGAGATTATATCATTCTAAAAAAAAAAGTAAGATCTGGGAAAGAAGAAAATTGATGAGCATGTAGTTGTAAATAATCTTTAGGTAACTCCTATACAAACCAATAGCTTATTAATAACACTGAAACCAAAGTTATAACTTATATTTTTTCACTACATTTCCAAACACAAAATTTAATAGCTATAACTCCAGGTATTTTTTTCTTAGACTAAATTGAAAAGTAAAAATAGACACAACAGAGATATGTATGGTAATACTTGTGTGTGTAGAATACATACACGTTTAGAAAAGTATGCATTACTATTTTCCTTAAAACCTCAAAGTTAAAATTATGTGCAGTGCATTTTACATATTAAAACTGAAACCACATAAAGTCTGATTCAAGATGAGTAGAAAGTTATCAAAAAGGTAACAATAATAAATATTAGAAGTATAATTCATATGAAAAAAGTAACTTCTAATATTGTATGTAGCTCACAATTCATTGATTTTCATATGAAAATAATTTATGTATGATATTATCAGTCTTGATACATATGTTACTCATTTTAAAATATATTCTATATTAATATTCAACCAAACATTTCTCAGAATAATATGGTAAATATCTTCTAATTATTCATATATATAACAAGTAAAATAAAATTTTCATATGTGGTAAGTTACCTTCACCTGCAAAAATGTAGATACTCATCCATATATACATATAAAAAAGAAAAGACTTTCAATGTTTGGTTGCTGGGTGCCCTATTTCTTCTCACTATTACATGTTTTGGGTCTATGACTATACTATTTTTTTCATTCTAAAAGAATAAATAAAAACATAAGATGGAACTGGATATGAATTGAATATTTGTCAATTATGTTTGCTGATAATGAAGATTTTGTATCATCATTATGTAGTTCAGAAAAAAAACACATGAAAATATGACCTACAGCAGTAAGATGATTGCTAAGTTGTCTTGAGAAAGAAATATTCAATGATTTTGTTAATTCTACTACACATACATTTTTAGAACAGCATGCACAGACAGCACAACACCAGCTTCTCTTTCGTTTTAGACGTCGACCTTCGTGCCACACAACTCGCAGTAGTGCCTAGTAGACATCCCAAACATTTAGGAAACATTTTCTTGAATGATAATAATAACAACCTAAAAAAAATACTTAATCTATCCAAATTTGTTTTAAATAATTATCTAATTTTTTTTAAGAATGTAAGGTAATTTTTTTTAAACAAAGAATGCACAGAAAGCTACTTACAATTATCAACACTGCTTATTCAGCACCATTCTGCTTTGATCTGGCTTAAGAGTATTATTAGGCTATGAAAATACATAGAACTTTGCATGCAGATAAGTGGTCCTAGTTTTTAAAAAATCTATAAAAAATACAGGGAGTATAAAATCAGTAATTGTGAATAGTTTTACATTAAAAAAAATGCTAAACTCACCAAAACAGCTAGAAAGTCAGACACCATGACCATGTAGAAAACATTATTCCAGCTAGTTTTAGAGATAAAACCAGCCAAAAGTGGACCAACAGCAGCTCCTGTTTCACAAAAACAGAAATTAATGTAAGAACTGCTTTTATGTGAAGTGTTCCATGATTCCGATATCTTAGCTACAAAAAGTTACGACTAATTTACACCCAAATTTATGAAGGAGATCCAACTTATGAAAATAGAATTTATAAACTAATATATGTGTGATTACAGTATAGAAAGCCTACCCTGTCTTAAAAACCTATATTTTTGAAACTATTTTGTCATAATAATTATTTTAATGCTTTCCTGAAGAAAAGGGTTATTTGTGAAAAACATAACTATTCACATATTCAGGATTAGATACACCCATATAGCTGTATTCATGTATAATTAAAGAAAGAATATACTTTATTTCAAAACATATTTTTAATGTTATTGGTTAGTAAATCACAATTTGCTTTCAGATATGACATCAACCTAAGATTAATGTTTTATGATTTTGGAGTTATTAACTTTACATTACAGTTAATGCTGTCTAAAATGACAAAGGGGTAACTGACAGTTTTAGGTCATGTGCAAAAATTACAGAAGCAAATTACTAATTCAGCATAAGGAATGAGAATCCAATTCAGAAGCAAATATAAATAAGTGTCTGAGTAATATATATGTACAATGGATGGTTGACTTGTTCTATAGTGTAAATTATACTTTGATACTTTAAGTTTTACAGTAAATGTACTTCTTACTAATATTCTCAAACACTCAGAACAAATGTTTGTAAAAAGTTTCAAATTACACATACACCACACTGTATGTAGATTATTTGTTGTGCTACAAAATATATTCAGCCTTGAGTGAGTTAGACTTGCGTTATTATTACTTTGCCAAATGCTGCTAATAAACATCATTCTGATCATTCTCTTTTGCTTTCAAGAGTGGAGTAAAAAACCTGATTGAAAAACAATTCAAAATTATTGCACTTTTTATTCAATACTTTCAATATACAGTAGCCTAAAGCTGAAGTGTACTAATTTCCCTCAAGTTCATCGATGCTACAAATGGATACAACATAGAAATTAGAGCTCTAGAAACTATTTTCCTATAGGGTATATACCCATCTCTAGCATCAGTGAAAAAATCCTTATTTGCTATGAAAAATGTAAACATGTATTGGGAGAAAATATGATGACAGTGGAGTTGACACCTTTCAATAAATATGAACCTAAGTTTAAACTATGGGTGAAGTAGCATGATGTAGAATTTGTCAAAACATATAGTTACACTGCAACCAAGACCTTATCAAAATGTAACCCAACTGACTCTGTTTCAAGTGCAGGAATGTTGCATTCACCTGTATATATGGAGATGAACCAAGACAAAAGGACAGAGGCCTATACCACAATCAAAGGTAAATCTACATTCTAACTCTCAGTCTCACTTGCTTCACTTACCTGTAGTAAACTTTTATGCACTCCAATTTTATATTGAAGTATTAAACTTTGGCTGCTTTTTAACAATTTTTCAATTAGTTGAAAAATATTATTAATGGTGATTATCTCTTAGTACTGTGTAAGAGACAGATAAGATTGAAAGTAACAGGCACTTGTTCTAGAGAAGCAGACAAAGGTTAGTGTTAAGTCCTGCATTGTTTTTATCTTCTGCTATTATAATGTTCTTGGCATAGCAGATAATTTTATGGTATATGTATATGTATGTATGGTATGATACTGCTTGGTGAGTCTATTTGTGTATTCTTCATATTTCATCTGCTGTTCCCTTTGAGAAGATGCTATGTTTTAACACATTTCAACAAGTTTATTTAAATATTTTTTAAAACATGGTTATCTGTCCAAAGTCTGTTCAAACAATAGTTCATTCTAAATTCCCCAATGCATGCATTTTGAAAACAAGGCACTATCTGCCCAAGGTGTGTTCAAAACAACGATTAGCTGCTAAACTCCTATATATATATATGTACACACACACACACGCACACAAGTAACTCCAAGTGTCACAAAATTCGATGACACACATTTGCAGATCTAAAATTTATTTACACCTATACAAGAGATGAATTGAGAAATCTAAAGTAGTCCAAATCCTAATTTTAAAATAAATCATGTTTAATTTAGTTTAGAACAACGGTTGTATGAATAATAATAGAGGAACTTATGACTAGAACATCACTGACACTTGGTGCTGTAAAGTGTAAGATGGGTGTTTTTATTGAAAAATAGTGAAACACAAGAGATAACTTGCACTTGTAAGCTGTGGACTAAAACTTTTACTTAAGGTAAATCTACTCTTATTACTTAACTATATTCTAGAATATTAGTATAGGCCTAATTTAACAGCTTGCATTTAAAAACAGCAATGAACTGAC